TATTTATTTATTTATTTATTTATTTAGTTAGTTAGTTAGTTAGTTAGTTAGTTAGTTAGTTTGCTGATACAGGGTCACTGTATAGCCCAGGCTGGCCTGGAACTCCCTATGTAGACTGGGTTGTCCTTGATCTCACAGAGCTCCTCTGCCTCTGCCTCCCAAGTACTGGGATTAAAGGCCTGTGCTTCCACTTCTGGCTATTATATTTATTTAATTTTACACTTCTCTGCCATTTTGTGCTGATTTTAATTTAACCGGTGATAGGAACAGCTCCAAGTGGTGCCCACACAGAGCCTTGGACCTTTGTGGTGGTGAAAGACCCAGACGTGAAGCATAAAATCCGGGAGATTATTGAGGAGGAAGAGGAGATAAACTATACAAAAAGAATGGGTCACCGATGGGTCACAGACCTGAAGAAACTGAGGTACAAAGTGGATGGAATTAAGGATGTTTGGTTTGCACTATGTAAAGTAAAAGATTATCACTGCACTTTCTGTTTTTGTGGCATTTAAGATTATCTTATTAATTGCTCATATTAATGTGGTTCGGTGTGGTATTTCAACACGTGCTTAGATCACATCTCACCTTGCTTCTCTTTTGTTTTCTCATTTTGTTTTAAACATTAAAATATCTGATTCTGTTACTGGAAGCGATTATGAAAATTAAGTCAGACCTGGCCTCTGTACAGGCTCTGATCCAAATAATTGCTTCTTTTAAATTAAAAAATATTTAAAGATTTACTTTGTATTTATTTAGTTAATGTGTATGAGTGTTTTGTTTGCATGTATGTAAGCACAGTATATGTGTGCAGTGCCCAAGGAGGCCAGAAGAGGGCATCAGATCCTGTGTAACTGGAGTTACAGACAGTTGTGAGCCACCATGTGGGTGTTGAGAACTGAAGCCAGGTCCTCTGCAAGAGTAGCCAGTACTCTTACTCTTAATTGCTGAGCCATCTCTCCATCCCGTTTTTTAAATTGTGTGTGTGTGTGTGTGTGTGTGTGTGTGTGTGTGTGTGTTCAGATGAGTGCAGATGCCTGTGGAAGCCAGAGGCATCAGAACCCTGCAGATGCCTGTGGAAGCCAGAGGCATCAGAACCCTTTGGAGCTGGAGTTATAGGCAGTTGTGAGTCATCTAATATGGGTCCTGGGAACTGAACTTGGGTCTTCTAGAAAAGCAGTAAGCCCTCTTAACCACTGAGCCATTTCTCAACCCAGGAATAACTGCTTCTTAAATAAAACTTTGAGGAATGACTTCACTTTTCATCTAGCTGGAACATGAGAGTGTGAAATGCTTTTTTTTTGAGATGGGGTCTCCTGTAGCCCCAGCTGGCCTGGAACTTGCTATGTGGGTGAGACTGGCCCCAGTCTCATAAGGATCTGTCTGCTTCTGCGTCCAGAGTGCTAGGATTAAAGTTGTGTACCACCAAGCTTAGCCCCCAGTTTTCAAGATCTAGAATGAAGCAAATTTTACTAATGTGATGGGGTCTTCCAAATTAAGTAGGCTTTAATTAAGAACAAGTTTAGTTTCAGTACCATATCAATTAGCATTAGAACCGTGAGCTCCCTATCTTCAAGAAGACACTGAAGCGGAATTCAGAGCAACTAGGGCAAAGGGGGTGGTTGTATTGGCTCTTACCCCTCAGAAGGCCCTAAAGGACATGAGCTCAAGTTCTTGGCTCTGAGTATAGAGGGGTCTAATACCTCTGTCTCTCAGCTGTGGCCCTTCTATGGTCAATTCTGGCATGTGTCACCCACAGTCATAAAAGCCTAAGAAAGAATGATGGCTCACAGCTGCAGGAGGACATGGTGGAACTTCTGGCTCAGGGTGATAGGGTGAGAAGACCTGGGCTTCTGTTATCCCTACAGGGCACTGTCCTTCAGATATTTAAACCATATTAGAACTGATATCATATGACGTTGACAGCGTAGTACTGTGCTCTTGGACAAGTGTGAGATATTGACAATGAAAATATAAATCTTATTGTATATTCATGGGACAATGGGCTGGATGAGGTACATATTTACTGAGATATTAGACTCTAGATATATATTGTACATTCAAAATGCTATCACGCCTCTGGCCTCCCTCCACTAAGACAGAAAACATTGTTCTCTCATGTGTGTGCCCAGTGTCTCTCACATATATCATGTCCCTTCCATGCACTGAAATATCCAGTGCCACATAGCATTTTAATTATTCATTTTTTTTCTCATTGAACAGACCTTTCTTTTTTTAAAAAAAATAAATCCATGTTACCCATTAAGTTCCCCTTGAGAATTCAATTAAATTATAGTTTCTTAACCTACAATATGTACACAGACACACATACACACATGGAGAGAGAGAGAGAGAGAGAGAGAGAGAGAGAGAGAGAGAGAGAGAGAGAGAACAGGTTTAAAACTTTCACATTATGCCACCAAGCACCATAGTGGTACATATTAGTAACTGAAGAAATACTAGCTGAACTGAATTCCAAATGGAGCCTGGGAATATGGCTCAGTGGGCAGGAGTGCTTGCTGTACAAACATAAGGACCTGAGTTTGAATCACCACACCCAAGTACAAAGCTGAGTACCCCTGCAACCCTAGCATCCTGGAGAGCTGACACAGGAGGACCACAAGGTCTTGCTGGCTGTGAGTTCGGCTCTAGGTTTAGTGAGAGGCCCTGTCTCAAGGGAAGGAGAATGGAACAGCGTGGAGAATGGTAGAGCAGGACATCTGACATCATCCTCTGGCCTCCACACACATCTCACACATAACACGAACGCATACTTTCAATCACCTCTGAAGCCCGTAGCTGGTATTCTCCATATACAATGTGGATCCAATTAACCTTTCAGGCCTTATCTTTTCTAGAGCTCTCAACTCAAGCCAAAAAGTACCAACTCTCCTTTCAATGGTCTTTTTCCTTGGAGTCTTATTAGCTCTCATATGACATCATGATGAAGTTGTATAAGATTGAATTATCCAAGACTAAACCAAAAGATCAGATGGTCCTGTATATTTAGGCAGAGTAAGCACAAAAATATTTTTGAATGATTGATCTGTCTTAGGATATAGGTAAACTCTTAATTTTCAATTTTTTAAAAAATTATATTACCTACCTTTTCTTTATACATATTTTATATACTTTTAACATTAATTTTAATCATTATAAATATAATCAGAATCTTAAATCATGAAAATACCCAAACTAGAATACAAGTTCATCTACCAGCATGCAGCTTGGGGTGCACACACAGTCTCTTGTCAGAGTTCAGCTCCCTTGGGGCACCGTGGAGAACAGCCTCCAGGTCAGCTCAGGGCCAAAGAACAGTGTGTGTTACTAGGGATTGCTGAATCCTAGAAGTCTGGTGAATTAGAAGTGATCCCCTTTGTGGGCATTCCCTTGATTTCAAGGTGCGATGTTTGTATTAGTAAAAGCCACTTTCCCTATTTTAACTTATTTCACTCTCATGATAAGCACAAGAGGTGGGAGCTCAGTAGCTCATTTGACATGTGAGGTACAGCAATGAGAGTAAAAAAATCAGTAACAGTGAAATGGGACTAAGCTGATTGATGTAAGATGCAATAGCTCTGAGAGTGTAAAATACAGTTGTTAGTAGCTTGAGAACCATAGGAAAATGCACAGGTTTCATGTGTTTTAAAACAGCGAAGTGTTACTGGGCTAAAAACCAAAATGAAGGGCTGGAGAGATGGCTCAACAATTAAGAGCGCTGGAGAGGACACGGGTTCAATTCACAGCACACACATGGCAGCTAACAACCATCTATAACTCCACTTCCAGGTGATCTGACGTCCTCTTCTGACCTCTTCGGGCATTGCACAACACAGATGTACCTACCTACATGCAAGCAATATACATATATATATATATATATATATATATTTCACCAGCCCCCTATTCACAGAATTCTTTAAAAAGAACAGGGCCCTGTGTGGTGGTGCACACCTTTAATCCAAGCATTCAGGAGGCAGAGGCAGAAGAGATTAAGGCCAGCCTGGTCTACATAGTGAGTTCCAAAGCCAGCTGGGGCTACAGGGAGAGAAAAACAAGCAAAAGAATAATACACATTCCTTAATTACGTGAAATATCTCTTGAGAGGAATCCAATATTTTGGATCACATGACTATATGGAGAGTATATATATTTCTTTACAATATCTGTCCTAGAATGAAACTTCATTTCAAATGTATGGGGCAAAGCAATGGAACCAAGAAAGATACACTCTGGTTGGAAAACAAAGAATTTCAACCTCACATCTATACTCCACATGAATAACCATTGGCTCTCACAAAAGCCCCCTGCCCTCTTTCTAGAACTAGACTATCGGAGTTTCCTCTTGTTCTTCTGTCCTTTCAGTTAGTCCTCTCTGTCGCCAGTCACCACTGCTGTCTCCTGCACTTGCTCCGGTCCTCGATCCACCATCTCTAGCCCTTACCTCCTCACTCCCCAATTCTCCCAAGCTTGGTCCTTCTGTGCCTACTGTCCTTTCCAGGCCATGGCCATCATCTTGTCCTTGGTTCTTCTCCCTATAGGATGACTTTGTACCTGGTACTTAGAGATGTCACTCTTGGTGGTATCACTCTTACCCATACAACCCACTTTTCTGAAATAGACCTGATCACGTGATGCCTCTGCTTGGCAGCACAGGATGAATTCTCCATCAAAAACCAAATGAAGGAAAGATCTGCACATATGTACTGGCCCACCCATGTCCTAGCACGTGCCTCACCCTGCAGCCCACCAAGCTGCCATGCATCCTCCTGCTTGATTATACTCATCGATTCGGACTGCCTGGGACACTCTCCCACTCCCCTTCCTTGTCTTCATCACCTACCTGGAGGCCATATCTGTGGTCTCCAATCCTCTTACTCTAATCACCATTTTGGTTTTGGAGTGGTCCAGTGCACTTGATTCCCTTCCTTTAGAAGCTCTGTCTGTATCTTTCAGTATTTTGCATGCTCACTGAATTCATTAACCTTAGAGGAAAAGACAAGTAAATGTGTACCTTTCAATCATAAATAAGCTAAAGTGGTTTTTAAAAGAGAACAAAAATTAAGAGCTAATATTCTCCTGACTCTCCACCCCCTCCCCCAGAACCAATTGGATTAAGGAATACTTGGACACTGCCCCTGTTCTAATTCTCATTTTCAAACAAGTCCATGGTTTTGCTGCAGATGGCAAGAAAAAGGTTCACTATTACAACGAGATCAGCGTGTCCATCGCGTGTGGCATCCTGCTGGCCGCACTGCAGGTATGTTGCAACCCTCTACAGGCCCGAGGGAGGCAAGTGACGTGGGGGAACAGGAGTGGCCTTTGCAGAAAGTGTTGGCCAAGTTTTCAACTCAGGGTCATTTTGGAATTATTTATCTGAGGTTGAATTCTCAGGTAACTCCAGTGTGGAAACTGGCCCTGGAACCTGGATTGGTGAGTGCGATGGTTCAGCAGACCAGGACTCTTCCTGGAAATTTACTTGTGATACATCAGGGTCAGAAAAGCTGTTGCCGTGTTTGTTTTCTTCTGTAACAACCCGTAGCTTGAGAGTCTGAGCACTCACACATGAACTTCAGAGCCTGCAGGTCTCAGAGACTCGCTCCCCATGTGTGTGTTCTGCAGTGCTCCAAGCTGATGGGATGACTGAGCAGCTGTAAGGACTGTGGAGGAGTACCTTTCCTGAGAAGTCAATTACATTGCATTGCATTAGAAAGGTGGTCACATGCTTACCAAACTTCCCATCTGTACAGGAGCTAGAGCTGTGTGAATGTGAAACAGAAGAGGACTAGAGAGCCTCTCAAACCCTGTAACATTCCTGGGAGGAAGTGGGGCTTGGATAGGTCATGAACTGTACATTCTGATGGAGACTCGGGGATCAGGAAGGGGATAAGAGAAGCAAAACACAGAAATTAAATAAAACAAACAAGGGGCTGGAGAGACGGCTCAGTGGTTAAGAGCACTGGCTGACCTGGGTTCAGTTTCCAACACCCACATGGCAGCTAACAATCATCTGTAACTCCAGTTCCAAGGAATCTGATGCCCTCTTCTGACCTCTGTAGGCATTGCATGACATGGGTACACTCACATCCATGCAAGCAATACATTCATACACATAAAATAAAAATAATAAATAAAATATTAAAAATTAAAACAATGATCTTACATTGGGGGTGTATATGTATGCACGTGTGTGTGTGGGTGTTTGGGTGTGTGTGTGTGCTTCTTCACTATCTCAAAGAAAAACCGGGATTATCAGTAACACCTTACAATATGTGGTCGTAATTGCACAAAAGAGAAACTTGTTTTCAAGCGTTCTTGCAAAATTATCCTGAAGGAGTTGGCTTTTGTGTTCCTTCATGAATCTGTAGGCAGATAAATGAAGGCATCTCCAGACAGTGTCAGATCACAGGGTACTGTGACTGATTTAGGTCCCCGGAAAAACAGTGTGAGCCTGGTGCCAGGCCCCTTCCCACAGTGCTCTCGACCTCTGAAGAGAGTGGCCAGCACGCTGTTGAGTTTGGGAACTTCTTGTTACCCAGAATTCAGAGGGTAGGTTATGACTGAGGGAAGAGAGAAAACCATTCCTGGAACTTAATACCCAGCACAGAGACTGGGTGGGCTGGGTTGGCCACACATAAAGCCCAGAGGCAGCTCCCAGCCTTTATCCTGGCTCAGGCTTCCAGGTGGCAATGTGACTGGGGAAGCCCAGGTGCTGGGGAGCAGCTGGGAAGAGTCTGGAAGGCACCAGTCGTTTGTACTTAGATGTCTGCTTTGGAGCTTAGGGAGAGTGATAGGGTATTTCCTCTATTCTCACACCCCTACTTGGCCACCGGCTCCTCCATCATTGGCCATAAGCATTTTCACCAGGCTGGTTCACATCTTCCATGTATGTTCTGTCCCCTGAGTCTGTTGTATTTAGAATAAACTATGCAAGCCTTCATTAATACCTTAAACACCAAGAGCTCACTGTCAGACTGTATTTTTGAAATGATGACTATAATATTCTAAAGTGTCCACAATAATTGTAAAGTGAAATGAAGATACCTGTTTTATTGTTTTGTTTTTGTTGTTGTTGATCTTGACACAATCTCATCATATAGCTCAAACTAGTCTCAAACTCAAGGCCCTTCTACCTCAGCCTCCCAAGTGCTGAGATTAGAGGTGTAGACTACCACACCTGGCCTAACACCTGTGAATTTGATTGTTGACAAAACTCATAAATGTTCCTGGGCTGGAAAAAAAGGGTTGTGATTTTGCCTCTGACTTTAAAATACACTCTTCCTCTCTTGTTTTAGAATGCAGGTCTGGTGACAGTCACCACCACTCCTCTCAACTGTGGCCCTCGTCTGAGGGTGCTCCTGGGCCGCCCCTCAAATGAAAAGCTCCTGATACTGCTTCCTGTGGGATACCCCAGCCAAGAGGCCACAGTGCCCAACCTCAAGCGGAAAGCTCTGGACCAGATCATGGTGATGGTGTAGTCAGGTGCTCACCAAGGAGACCTGGGACAACATGTACAGGACATGTACAGGATGAGGTGCATGGCCCAGAGGTGGTTGAAGCTAGCTTGCACTAGCACATGGAAGCTGGTGTTTAAATATACTGGAATTATCCAATGAGTTATTTAACTATTTGTAGCTTGAAATGGCCCAGGGTGAAAGTATTTACACCACAGTAGTTGGTAACAATAACAAGCCAGTTTCAGTTTCTTAAAGATACTGTTCACCACACATAGCACCTCCTTCTTACTTCACCGCATGAAATACACTTAGCCTTTCTTTAGATGACAGCAAAGCTGTTTGGAACTCCCTGAGCCATAGGCAAATATCACACCTAGTCTTTCACCCATCCCCTCCTATCTGCTCTCCTAGGGGCCTTGTATACACAGTTTTATTCTTGTAGTTCAAGTAATTCTTTATCTAGCAAGTCGCCATTGCTTCCTCCCCCTCCTCCTCCTCTTTCTTCTCCTCCCCATCGTCCTCTCTTCCCCTTATCCTCTTCATCCTCCTCTTTCTCCTGCTTTTCTTCTTTGAACCTCAGCTGTGTCATTGGTAAGAGAAAGAGCTGGTGCAGCCCTGTGTCAGAGAGAAGTAAAGCCTTTCTTTGCTCTAAAATATAATTAAACATTACAGGAACCAGCACCTTCAAACTTTGACATTCTTTGAAATATCTAGAAGCATTTTCTGTAATCCCTCAAATCTATACATATCTTCAGTTTTCTCTACATGCACTTTCTCTCACCTCTATACATTTTGACAGACTTTGTTACTAACATTTATTTAAATTCTTAAAGATGGTAGTATTGTGATGTGTGCCCTGCTTGCGTTTATTGAAATGAGCTCTGTTTTAACAGTACTGGGCGTTAGTAGATTCACGTGGGCTGGAATTATTGTACAATTATTGTACACCACATTGTTTTATTGGAACAAGATGTTCTGAGTTTCAAGTATCAGAGTAATAAACACACTTTGCCATCACAATGTAAATAAATTACATTTTTAAACCTTTAAAATTCTATTTCTTAGGCCTGGAAGCTGCTGATGCTTTCACCTGTGCTACTGCCAAAAACAGAGGTGCAAAAAGGACCTTGTCCCCTTTGTAAGGCCCTGGCCAGCCTGCATGCAGGGGAGCGGGGTGTGAGATGGAGAGGGAAGAAGGCTCCTTGTGGGACTGTTCAGGCACACAGTCACGAGAGAGGAAGGAGAGAGCCAAGGCTTCCACACGGGTCTTTAAGCAATGCATCATCCCTGGGGTCTGGTCATCTTTAGATCATTGTATCCGAACACATATGGCCTTAATTTTTTATGTTCATCAAAGGCACAGAAGTGCAGCGTCAGGAAAAGCTGTGGCCAGCCTTCTTTTGGAGATGGGATCAATGGTAACTCTGAGTGGAGATGATGCAGCACAGACAGACCTGGACTCAAGTTTCCCTCCAGCTGGGTTAGTTGTGGAAAATCGAACCTCTCTAAGTCTCGTTTTATGAAGCTGCAAACTGAAGATAAACGTAACACTGACATTAGGACTGTTGTGGCCTTTAAATTCAATGACCGCCACATAATTCCTAGCATGAGTTCAGTTATAACCTGTGTCACTCCACCATGTGACAAAAGTGGCACGAGACTTTGGAGTCCTGTGGCCTGGGTTGATCTTCTTGCTCTAATAGCTATCTTGAAAGAAAACTTTCAGTGGTGACCTTGAACTTGTTACCTAAGTGAGGCTCTTACCTGGTATATTAAACGAGGCTAGTGACACTGTCTTAGTCCAGTCTGATTGCTGTAGTGATGTACAATAGACTGAGTGGCTTAGAAACAAAGGTAGGTGTTCCTCACTGTTCTGGAGGCTAGAAGGTGGAGATGTGGTTAGCCACAGCCACGTTCTGGTGCAGGCCTCTTCTGAGTTGCATCCTACTGGTTTCTCCTTGTGTCCTCAAATGGTACAGACAGGTTAGAAAGCTTCCTGCAGTTTCTTTTGTAATAACACTAACCCCATTCATGAAGTCTCTACCTCATCATGCAATCAGTTCCCAAAGATCCACCTCCTAATATCACCAAAAGCTTCCTGCAGTTTCTGCTTTAATAATAACACTAACCCCATTCATGAAGGCTCTACCTCATCATGCAATCAGTTCCCAAAGATCCACCTCCTAATATCACCATGGAGGCTAGGATTTCAGAAACTGATTTTGGGAAGAGCACAAATACTTGGTTCATTGCACTTACCTTACGGAGTGTGGCACCCTGCTTGGTACACAACAACATCACAGAGAGGAGGATCCAGTGCCTGGACCTATGGTGCTGATGGTGGTTGTTACTAGCATCTTGGTAAGATGGCCCTGCTTTGGGATCCAGAGGAGCAAAGGCCATAAGGGTGGGTAGGATATTCTTCTATTTAGAGAGGTATCCTTAATCTCTCTTCTCTTTACCTTGACTCGGGTAGCACTACAAAGTCAGACCGAGTTCCCTACTGTCAGAGAACGGCAGACATCACAACTAGAAACTGTAAATGTTGCTTATTTCTTTGTCCACTCAATATCATTAGCTTAATAAGAAGTTACATTGTGTATCTGTATCTGCAGTCAATTTGAATATTTGTTTAAGAAAATCACCATAGAAATTTATGAATGATCCAGCATCACTTTACCCAAGTGGTAAGGTCTCAGCATTGCTCTCTTAGTGGAATAACTGGCAGTCAGTGCCTCCTGTCAGGATGCATTAGGAGGTATGGGGCATCACTTATGTAGTGTTTTTGCCAAAACATCAAAAAAGAAACTAACCACACCTCTACACCTAACTTACAGTTTACAGTAAAGACAGAATAGAGACACAAGTTTATTGACATGATGGCAGTCAGAACTTGAGTCATTCTGTAAGAAACAGGCCTGAACTCTTCAAAGAGTCCATGTCATGAGAGGGGAAATGGAAGGCATGCTGACCTATTCTAACCTCGGTCCTAGAGCAGCAGCAGCACGGGTATCACCCAGAGCTCCTTAGACTCCCAAGCCCCTCTCAGACCTCCAGAATCAGAATCTGCATCTTAACAAGAGCCCCAGGTTATACACACACACACACACACACACACACACACACACACACACACACAGAGAGAGAGAGAGAGAGAGTCAAGGTTGAGTAGCTCTGCTCCAGGTAAGCAGTGATGTAACAGTCAAGGGCTAAGTGAAAACCTTAACTGGATTTTGGTTTAGACCAAAGCAGGTTGGTATAAAAGGAAGCTGGGGAGCTCTGTGAGTTCACTGTTGAGAGATCATGTGAGTGGCACACAACAAAATACTTGGGCCAAAGCAACATTCTATAACATATTGCAAAGAAAAAGGTGTGTGTGTGTGTGTGTGTGTGTGTGTGTGTGTGTAGCACACATAGAGAGAGAGACAGAGACAGAAAGACAGAGACAGAGAGAGACAGAGACAGAGAAACAGAGACACAGAGAGTGAGAGACAGACACAGAAACCCAGAACACTAGTATGGTAAAATCACATGTGGAACATAATGTTTTAGTTGAAATTTCCATCTTGGGAGTACTGGGGGGACAGACTCTATTCCTGTTTCTTATTTCCTCCTTCTTACAAGAAGAGTGATTTCTTTAATCAGTAAAATTGGGGTTAAATTGATACTGCACAGGCTCAAACCAGAATAATGTATACTCTGTTTCAAGCCAAACGGACAAAATGGGGATGATTATTCACCTCAGAAAGATAGTTGACCACCCAAAGTATCTAAAGACTGGTATTTCTAAAGAGTATTCAAATTGGTAAGCTATTTTTAAAGTACTTCATAAAAATCTTAGGAATATTTATAAATGGAAGAAATATACATTATTATCAGTGGATATTTTGCCTGAAAGGGACAAGAAATGGAGTTCTTATTTTTCCAGGTGTCCGCAGAGTTCCCTCATGATTTTTTGTGAAGCTGAACAATGTGAATATGATGTCCTCAATCTACACATAAGTACTAATGATGACAGATGCACAACAAAATTGCTCCCACTCCTCCCACTAAAACAAACAAAGTAGAATGGGGTGAGCTGGGCTGACGCATCTGAGGTTGGGACCCCATCTTGGTGGCCTCAGCTAATGTGGAAGACGTGCTGCGGCAGCTAAGAGGGAACACTGTCCAAAGCAGCCATCCCGCCAAGTTAAATAGAGTGATTTTGATGGAGTGTGAAATGCTATAATCCCATTTGGAGGCAGTCCTAAAAAGTCACAGCGAAGGGGAATGGTATGTGTTATTAACACGACTGGAGAATGGAGGCTCAGAATTAAATGCAACAGCATTAGAGCATCTTTAGGGCAAGGTGGAAATGTGAGCAATTTCTGCAGAAAGCCAAAGAGAGCAGAAGCCAATGAAGTCATACAGGAAGTGAGCTACACCAGCGGAGTTGGTAGTTTCCTTTTACTGCAATAGAAGGCAACTGGAATAAAGGTTCAAAATGGCATCCCTGAAGGGTACAGACAGGAAGCCTGTTGTTGTCGCTGCCATAGTAAACCACAGAAGGCTCAGCATCCTCACTTCCCAACCCAAAGGACTAGCCTTCCTACGCAGCCTCAGTTGGTCTGAGGCATCAGCTATACTGTGTTCATGAGCTGATGACCTAGTAGCTCCAAATCCCTTGGCGTAGTAAATGTTGAGTAAGTCACATCCAAAATATTAGTACGTTCAGGCTAAGCTTACGAATAATCTTGTGTATATTCCTTATTTAAGTGAATTAAATATTTGAAAGTCATGATTCATTCTGATTTAAAATGTGAAATTCACTTCTGGCTTGTAAGGTATAAAAAAATTGACTTAGCTCATTAACAATATTAGAATAGACTCGTTAAATTTATAACCTTATTAGCATTAGAAGAAATGTTTAGGTAGACAATGCCAGACATGGTGGTACACACCTGTAATCTCAGAAGGCAAATCCTTGGATTTGAGTCTAATCAAGACAACACAGTGATATTCTACCTCAAAAATAAATAATTTGCTATAAACCACCATGTCAGTTGTTTGAAATGCTAAAATTAAAAATATAATACATTTATACAAGGAGTTGAACTTTTAAAAAATATTTTATTTTAGTTTTAATTCTGTGTTGTGTGTTGCTATGTGGACTTGAGTGTAGGGACCCACAGAAGCCAGAAGAAGGCATTGAATCTCCTGGAGCCAGAGTTACATGCAGTTGTGAGCTATCTAATGTGGATGCTGGGAACCAAAGTAGGATACTCTGGAAGAGCAGCAAGTGTTCTGAATTGCTGCTATCTTTCCAACCCCGAGGAGTTAGAATTTTTAAGAGACTTGGGATTTAAGGCAGTATGGCCTATTTAACTTGAGTTAATGAAGTATTCATCCAAGTTTCTCTCATAAAAGAGATTTCTTTTATTTAAAAGTTCTAGATTCTGGGGCTGGAGGGATGGTTCAGTGGTTAAGAGCACTGACTGCTCTTGCAGAGGACCTGGGTTCGTTTCTAGCACCCACATGGGAGCTAACAACTGTCTGTAACTGCAGTTCCAGGGGATTTGACACTTTCTTCTGACCTCCACAGGCCTTGCATGACACAGGTCCACTTACATACATGCAGGCAATACACTCATACACATAAATTAAAAATAATAAAATATTTTAAAAGTTCTAGATTCTTCTAATCATGGTGCTTAAACAAATAAGGGTTTATTTTTCCTCATCAGGAAAGTTCTAGTAATAATAATAATAATAATAATAATAATAATAATAATAAAATGCTGTTTTAATTTGTATTGTGCCACTATAACAGAATACCACAGATGGGGTCATTTACAAACAAGGAAAATTTTTTTGATTTAAAGTTCTAGAGGCCAAGGGCCTGTGTTTCCTGGAAGCCTCTTTTCTGTGTCATATCGTGGCTGAAAGTATCACAGGCCAGACAGCAAGAGATGAAACAACTAGGCTCAGACCTTCTCAGGATTACCATTAATCCATTCATGGGGGTGGAGCCCTCCATCCTCCCCTGAACACTTCCCATCAAGCCC